GTGTGTGTGTGTGTGTGTGTGTGTGTGTGTGTGTGTGTGTGTGTGTGTGTGTGCGTGCGTGTTTGTTTAAATTCCAGGCAGGTCAATGAATTACAATAAAGTTTTAGGAATGAATCAACAAAGTTCCAGTGAACCCCTTGACAGCCATTCACCTGCTCACTTCTAGATGTTTCATCCAGGGATTCCAACCACAGCGCCAAACAAGATTTCGAGCATAATGAGCCTGTGCCAGGCTTGCTTGTCGCGCATTGAGGTCTTTTCTCCTCTGCCGTTCCTTCTCCTCCTATACACCCAACATCGCAGCAAAGCCGACAAACAGAAGCCAGATCAAGTTCACACTGTTTTGCGGATACAAAACTTGTATAAATCTTGCCCTACACGACATGCAACAACCGAGTTGACGGACCTAGCCCCTGTGCATGAATAAAAGCCAAAAAAGAGTAACAAGATGACGAGGGTTGTCTGATCTCACATACAGTGTCTGTGTTCATCCTCCGTACTCCCATGCCCTCCCATGTTCTACTCCACTGCACACTTCCCTTTTTGCCAAATGCCTCATGCTAATATGACCCCATCTCTGTGCGTTTCTCTTTCATCAGCCACCACCAGTGGTGGATAATATGGACCCCCACTTTCAGCTCCTGATTAATGGATAGAAAACTGAAATTAGGGTTTGGAGGTCAAGAAATTGCTCTGAAAATAGGGACCACTTGCCCGGCCGGGCCAAATATTTTTATGACTTATAAGCTGTCCTGCTGTAAAAATAGTAGAGCAAAAATAGTAGAGCAAAAATTCATACGTACAAGAAGAATGTCCAATCTTTTCTCCATTAATAATAACAAACTCTTTTGTTTGTCTAAATAGCAAATAAGCATACGTTTTTTTTGCTGATGTTAGTTACCGGGGACAACTTGACTCAAATGTCTTTTTTTTTTTTTTTTTTCCCTTCCAAACAACCCGATCGGATGCTAGGTGTGCTGATAAGAGCAGACACATCTAGCACCGTCGGGGTTGACTCAAATGTTTTTAGGATGGGAAGGAGTAGGTCTCACATCTATATTTGTTAATTAATTTTTGGTTTACACGACTCCAAGCAAATAAAGCATCTATTAAATATATATATTATATATAGTTAGTCACAGCCCCTCGTTTGTTGTCCTCTTCTCCCTCTCTGCCTACGATTTACCGGGCAGCTCTGTTTGCCGTGCTTGTTCTGTTTGCCGTGCTTGTTCTGTATGTCGTGCAGGGGAGGATGGCGACCAAGCATTCTAGGAGCAGATTAAGCAGCACTCCATCAGTGACAGCGCCCCCGAGAAACACCCCACTATAGTAGTATACGTTCGTATTAAGAAAAATAATAATAATTCGGAAACTGTAATCAGCGCACCAGGCGCATACGCCCGAAGGTGCGCAGCGCACCGCATCAGAGTGCCGCATCAGAGCCCCGCAAGTATGGTAAGGTTATAGTAACCTCATGCTCGTTGCTGGGCCTGACCTCACACGACTGACACCTGCAAACCTGGCTTTCCAGATCCCAAGAGAGAGAAGGAAAAGAAAAGGGAGAGGTGAGGAGGAGGAGTAGGTTAGCATATGAAGGAGAAGGGAGGAAAAGATAGGGAGGAATAGGAGGGCAGGAGCATTGGGGATGCGGCAGAGACGCGGCTGACAGCTGCCAGCCTCAGAGCGATGCCAAGATGTTCTCAAACTCACAGGTGTTGTAGAACTCACATGGTTACAAA